GATGGATGGATGGATGGATGGATGGATGGATGGATGGATGGAACATTTCAGCTTTTTTTTTCTGCCTGTCTGCATATTGAAACTCTTTTATTTTGAAATTGTATCCTATGCTTTCCAGCTGATCCAACCCTGACCAGCCGGTTCGGTCCGGTTTTGGTCCGGTTCTGTTTCATTTCTTTACTGTTTGGGTCCAGCATCAGTTTAACATGAAGTCTGTACCAGAAGGAGTCATTTTTCTCCCTAAATGTTTATCTAAATATCAGTCTGCAGCGCATTTTATCAACACGTGAGGTAACTATTTGTCACACGAGACCGGAAATGGAAAGCTCACGCCTTCATAATAAAACTTCATTATATGAAAAAAACGGCTGATAAAATGTTTGTTTTCATATATTTCCATATTATTCCCCGTTCAAACGTTAAATGCTATAAATCAGCGCTTCTGTTCGCGGTTTTTTCACCTCTGCTTAGAAATATTCTTTATCTGTTTCTTATTTTGAAAATCCTGCTCCATCCCGATTGGTTTGACAGCGCAGGATGGAGATAAATAGATAAGCGGCTCACGTGTGGGTGGCTGTGGTTCTGCTGCTGTGTGTTTGAGTGCAGAGAAGATGGTCCAAAGGTGGCGGCGGAAGAACACGTGAGCTGTCTGCTGACGTCATCCATCAGCAGAGGATGAGAGAAGCTGCTTCCTCTGATTCCTCATCATCTGCTTCACAGTCAGATAACTAATATCATGGTGTCTCTTTTAGCTGAAAGGTCAAATGAGCTGCGGCTAACATCCTCTTCACAACAACAGGAGGAAAAAGAAAAAAGAAAAAAATCTCAATATTTAAAAGATGGAACAGAAATTAAACATTTTAACTCTCAAGTTCAGCAGCAATAATAAGGATAATATAGAACAAAATAGAATCGAATAGAAATATCCTTTATTGTTCCACAGTGGGAGGACATAAATAAAAACAAGAAAATACGAATATGAGACTGTGTATAAGGACACATTTAATATCTAAAAAATTAAATTGAATAAAGAAAAAAATCAATATAGTTATTAACAGTGGTCATTACAAATTTAAGAATACTTTATTACTCCAAAAGGTAAATTAAATGTTGCAGTATCTCATACGTTATATTTTTAAACATGTGTTGATGCTGTAGGCAGGAAGGATCTCCTGTAGAGGTCTGTCCTGCACCAGATCTGGAAAAGCCTCTGACTGAAGATTCTTTGTTGTTAAATCTTCTGTAGAGGAGGCTAACTGTTGTCCATAATTTTACAATAGAAGAATAGAACAGAAAATCCCTTTATTGTTCCAATAAATGGGGAAATCCTGGTGATTAAAGCAACAAAACAATTACAGAAAAAAATGGTCACACAAATGTGGACCTTAGAAAAATGTATCGGAATAACAATAGCGAAGAGTTAAAAGATAAACAATGAAATCCTGCACTGTAAAGTGTTTTAGCAATATAAACCTGGAGAATAAATAACCAATATGCAGCTATGGACATTTT